AGTTTATTTTTTATTTTTTTTAAACTTTTTAAGTTTATTTTTGAGAGAGAGAAAAAAAAAATGAATGAGCGGGGGAGGGGCAGAGAGAGAGGGAGACACAGAATCGGAAGCAGGCTCCAGGCTCTGAGCTGTCAGCACAGAGCCCGGCGCAGGGCTTGAACTCGTGAACGGTGAGATCATGACCTGAGCCGGAGTCCAGCTGCTTAACCCACTGAGCCACCCAAGGCACCCTGATAATTATTGACTATAAATAGTTAGTGTTTTTTATTTTTCAACTAGGAAAAATTCCATCTATCAGAGGAACGTAGTTACGTATCTACACAGTATAGCCTGCGTCCTAGAAGAGAAGAGATAAAAGCAATGGACTCAAAGGAAGAAAACATTGTTACAACGACAAGATCTGCGTCGCTGAAAACCTCTCAAGCTCCAGCCACGCAGACCAAGGACCTGGAGTTTGGGGGAGTCCCTGGTAGGCAGCGCCCCCTGCTTGGTGTGGGGGGGGGGCGGTGGGGGCACGAGCCATCGCGGCAGTGGCGCCAAAGGAAAGGCCTTTCTCGGGAGGTATGTGAGGCGGCCAGGTCACAAGCCGGGTGGGGGCCCGGGCTCGCTGTTAGTAAGTGGGCGGTGATTGAAAGTAGTGACGATCTATGAGCTAGTAAAAGAAAACACTTTCGGCCGGTTCCAAGTCCTGCATGGCTTAATTGCTTCGTGTTTTGTAAGCAAACCCTGTGGGCTAGCGGGTCTGTGAGAGACGGTGTCCCGAGGTGCCTAGAATCTGTGCACCTGCTACATGGGAATCTGTTCTGTTAGAAACTTAGGTGTATAGAGTGCTTTACTTTTTTAAAAAAAGAGGAGGCTGATGGTTTTAGATGTTCTGATCTTCAGCTTGCTGGAATCTCAGCTTGTCTGCTCCCTAGTGGATGGAGTTGACACGTTTTGGAGCCTGGTTTCTGGGGCGGAGGTCGGCTGTCCGGTGCTGGCTAGCGGCTGATGTCCTCAGTGGCCACGGCACTTGCCCACCGGGCACGGCAGGTGCAGCCAGGAGTCTGTGATGGCCCGTTAGAAATCGCTTTCAGCGGTTAGCCAGGTTCCAGTCCTGACTTCAGAAGTCCCAAGGGGTCTTGACAGAGCGAGATAAACTGGACTGAAATTCAAGCCTTATCTGCAGGCGTGCTTCTCATCATGCTGGGACTGCCCGCCTGCCTCTGCCTGTTGCTGTTGATGTGTAAACAGAAGGAGCCCAGTCTTCTGAACTTCCCGCCTCCGTTGCCGGCCTGGCAGGATTTGTGGGAAACCAGAGTGTTTGGGGTCTACATCCTCTGGTTTTTAATGCAGGCTCTGTTCTACCTGCTGCCAGTCGGGAAGGTAAGTTTCTGCTGGTGGGGCTCATTGTCCCGGGACCTCCTCCCTCCTCAACTGATAAACTCCCGAGTTCCAGGGACCTCAGTCTGTATCTTTACTTTTCTTTAAGAAAAATTTTTAATGTTTATTTATTTTTGAGAGAGAGGGAGAGTGAGCGTGAGCAGGGGAGGGGCAGAGAGAGAGGGAGACCCAGAATCGGAAGCAGGCTCCAGGCTCTGAGCTGTCGGCACGGAGCCCGACGCGGGGCTCGAACTCACGGACCGTGAGATCGTGACCTGAGCTGAAATCGAGAGTAGGACGCTTAAACCCGGCCACCCACGTGCCCCTGTTGTTTCGTGTTTAAGATGAATCGCGACATTTCTGAATAGTTATTTTGGGGAGCAAGCTGTGGCCGCTGTCGGGCAAGTGGGGGTTTTATTCTGACTCCTCTCGTGGGAGGCGCGTGTCTATCGAGCACCTTTGGTGCGGGTGTGCCGTGCGCGATTGCCGACAGAGAGACGGAGTGCTCCTCGCGCGCGAAGTGCTCCCCGTCTCTTGGAGACAAAGGATCATGTGGAACGGTTGAGGGACCGAGTGTGCGCATCTGTGTAGGTAGAGGAGCGAGAAGTACACGAGGCGGCCTCCACGGCTAGGTGGGGCGCAGGCGCACGAGGTCCTCGCCGACGGGAGACCGCAGGCCCCTGCTCTGCTTTCTCAGTGGTGGGGAGCGAGCGGAGGACGAGATCATAGAGGGTTTTAAGTACGCGGAGCCGGTGGTGGCGCGGGCGGGGGAGGGTGGCCGTTCCCGCTGTCGCCGCTACCACCGGGGCGCGTGCCGGAGACATCCTGGCGGAACGGCTCCGCCGGTGAGCGGGTGCCCGTGAGACGCCTGCCGCTGGCCGCCGCCTTCCCTACGGGGGTCCTGGTTCTCCTCCCGCGTGTGGGAACCGACGACGACGTGTGACGCGAGGCTGTTTAAAGTCTTAGGTGAAGAAAATCCCTTTCTGTTCTTTTTGAGGTTGTGGAAGGAATGCCCCTTGCTGATGGAAGAAGGCTCAAGTACAGACTCAACGGTGAGTTGTTGTTTTCACGCCAACCGGTGAGCGCAGGAAGCCTGCGAGCGTCGCGCTCCGCCACCCTTGGGAGCCGGGTCCAGCCGGGCGGGGGGTGTGCGGGTGCGGGGACAGCGCCCGTCGCTTCTCCCTGGCACGCGGTTTCATTTTCCTAGTACGGTCACCGGTCGCCGTGTTTATATTTTATCGCCCTGGGTCACTGCCACGGTCTGGGGAGGCCCGTTCCAGCTTCTCGGCCACTCCTCCCCCACGCCCCACCCCTCACCCCCCGACTCCTGGCCTCTGGTGTCACTTGGCTGGGTCCACGGTGCTTTTTCTGGAAAACTGTCCCCAAAGTGTCCTGTGGCAGCTGCATCATTCCTGTCACGTCTCTGCTCAGAGGAGCCCTCGGGTCCCTTTCTCTCCTTTTTATGTCTTTTTTTAGTTTTAGTTTTTAATTTTATTTTAATTGCAGGGTAGATAGCGTTCGGTGTTCCACCAGTCTCGGGTGCGCTCTGGTGACTCCACGTTCCCCTGTGTGACCCAGTGCTCTCTTTCTGTCCCCATCATCCTGTTTATGGGCCTCCCCGACAGTCCCGGGCCGGGGACCTTGGTTGTGGGTCCCTGGGGACCCCTAGTGCCGGGCAGGGGGCTGGCCTGCGGGAGGCTTGTCAGCTGTGAGCACTGGGCAGGTCTATACCTCCGTCGGGTACGGCTGCCCTACTCTTAGAAGAGTTCTCCCTAAAGGGTTTTCCGCTTTAACAGGACTGCGTAGACTGTCCTCCTTTCCTTGGGAATTACATTGTACATTCTCATTCTTGGCCTTTTCAATCCTATTCCTATCACTTCTTTTTTCTTTTTTATGTTTATTTTTTTTTTTTAATTTTTTTTTTTTTTCCAACGTTTATTTATTTTTGGGACAGAGAGAGACAGAGCATGAACGGGGGAGGGGCAGAGAGAGAGGGAGACACAGAATGGAAAGCAGGCTCCAGGCTCCGAGCCATCAGCCCAGAGCCCGACGCGGGGCTCGAACTCACGGACCGCGAGATCGTGACCTGAGCTGAAGTCGGACACTTAACCGACTGTGCCACCCAGGCGCCCCTATGTTTATTTTTTAGAGAGAGACAGCGTGAGTGGGGGAGGGGCAGAGAGAGGGAGACACAGAATCGAAAGCAGACTCCAGGCTCTGAACAGTCAGCAGAGCCCCATGGGGGGCTCGAACTCACGAACCGTGAGGTCGTGATCTGAGCCGAAGGCAGATGCTCAACCCCACCAGGCGCCCCAGTCCTTTCACTTTTTACCTTTCTAACCGTGGGCACTTTATCCTGTGGCTTATTTAGCACCTGCTTTGTGAAGTCCTTCTGCTGGATTCTCAGAGGACAGCTGAAGATCCCGGAGGTGCCTTTCGTGCCGTGTGGAAAACATCGAGCCTAGCTCAGTGCCCGGCCCGTGGTGGGTGCTTAACACTCACTTGCCGCTGTCGGGCGTTTACAGACTTTTCCCAGATTTGCTGCTGTCAGAACCAGTGAGGCTGAGTCGGGACGGTGGGGAGGTTCTTCTTGCCCTCTGGTCTCTTGATCTTTGTGGGTTCTTCCTGGGCGCTGATTGCCTTCTTTTGTAAAAGGTCCTGCTTTCTGTTTTCAGTCCCCTGTGAGGGACTGTGGCCCCTCCGACAGGGCGCGAGCTGGATGGCAGCCCGCCGGACCAGCTGCCCGGTCCTTCTCTTTCAGATTCCAGATTCCCTGTCTGGTTCCTCTGCGTCCGTTGTCCTCGGTCTCTGTTCGTGAGATTTTACCCCTCACGCAGGAAGCGCCCAGGACATCGTGAAGGGTTCATTTTAATGCACGTGGGCCACAGGGCAGGAAGCTGTTCCGTCTGCTGCCGTTTTCCTTTAACATTCGTACATTTTACGAGAGTAAACGAATGGTTTAAAAAGCTGAAGGGAAAGTTACAACCGTTCGGAGTTACCCTAGGGCCAAAACCTGGCATGCGGCGCAGGCGCAGGTGGGTCTAGACGGTGGCCCAGAGACCGCGCAGTGCTGCACGGGAGCCGCCGTGTTAGAGTTCGTGCGGGAGCCGCGGCCGCCTCTCTTCTGTTCGCTTGTCGCTTGTCGATCCGAGCGTGGCGGTGCTTGGGGCGCTCCCTCCGGACGCGTGACTCCTGCTTTGGCTCGCGGAAGAGGCAGGCCGGGCACGCGCAGGCTTCCCGGGCCTCACGGGCGCCGTGGAGTCGGGAGTTGCCTGTGACCCAATGGCCCGTGCGCACTGGGCTCTCTGAGGCCCGGGTCCTGGGATCTGTTCCCCGGGAGGTGGGATGTAGCTAGGATCTTCTGGAACCATCGCGGGTAAGGTGTTTCAGGTAAAAGTACACTGGTGTAACTGCCAAGATGGCCCCGCGGATTGTGTGTGTGTGTGTGTGTGTGTGTGTGTGTGTGTGTGTGTGTGTGTTGGGCACAGCTCTGTTACTGATTTGGGCCCGAAGGTTAGGATTATGTGAATTTTGAGATTCTTCTCTGCTGTTTAATAGTGAATTTCTGTGCACTTTTAGCTTTGTTTTCATGAAAAGCACATATTGATGATTCACAGTGAAAACGAATAGCGTATGAACTATTAAAATATTGGAAAACCCGGGGCACCTGGGTGGTTCAGTTGGTTAAGCGTCCGACTCTTGTCTTGACTCAGGTCATGATCTCACGGTTTTGTGGGTTCGAGCCCCACATCGGGCTCCGAGGTGGGCGCAGCGCCTGCTTGGGACCCTTTCTCCCCCTCTCTCTGGCCCTTCCCCATTCGCGCTGTCTCTGTCTCTGTCTCAAAATAAATAAACTTCAAAAACAAATTAAAACACTTGACCCGTATGAGGGATCCAGCGTCTGTATTGAAGACCGGGGCGTTGCCTGCTTGCCCGCTCATGTGTTCTGAGCCCGATTCGTGCGAGTAAGCTTGGAAGCAATAACGTTGCGGTGTTTTCTCAGGGTATGGATCTTGCGAAGCCCGGGTGTCACGTGCACGTTTTCTCTTTCTCTTTAAAGGGTTCTGTGCTCTCCTCCTGACGTCCGCGGTCATAGGAGCAGCTGTCTTCTGGGGCGCGGACCTGTACTACGTGTACGGCCACTTCCTTCAGTTCGCGCTGGCCGCTGCCGCCTTCTCCCTGGGCCTGAGTGTCTACCTGGCGGTGCGGGCGGCGGGGGCACCTCCCGGTGCCCTGGCCCCCTCCAGCTCCGGTAAGTACCCCCCCCACCCCCCCAGCTCCAGGTCACAGCCATGATGAGGAGGAAGAAATAACAGGATGGAAAAAAAATGGGAAGGAAGATACGCTTAAAGGGAAAGAATCTATTCGCTCTTTTTTCCGACTTTCCTATTCATCTCTGTTCCTTTTTCAGTCACTTGATGACAGTTTATTTTAGTAACTTTTTTATTATAGTAACTGACATTTTAGTAACTTAGCATCACAGTTTATGACAGTTTTCTTTTTTGGTCTCATAAACATCCTCAAAACGACCCAAAATAACAGAGATTATACATTGGTTGATTCTGACCTTCAAGTAATTCAAATATTTTAAAAACTCAGGTTGTTTATTTAAAAAAATGGTGAGTCTTTGTTTTAAAAAAAAGCTCCAGTTCCCTTAAAATCAGGGCACCTGGCCCTAGGGGCCTAGCTGCTTCCAGCCAGGGGGGGCACCCTCCGGCCTCCTCGGTCCTCACCTCTGTGCCCGCCTGCCCACGCCGGCGCCTGCCGGGCTCCCTGAGAGGCTGAATTGGGACCCTGGACGGTAGACAGCAGGGCTTATTTTAAAGCCTCACAGTTGCCATACTGTTTGGGTAAGAACTTTTCCCTTTCCAGGAAATGCCATCTATGATTTCTTCATCGGCCGTGAATTGAATCCTCGGATTGGTACTTTTGACCTCAAATACTTTTGTGAATTGCGCCCTGGATTGATTGGATGGGTATGTCTTCTTTGTTTTTAAATTCAGTTCAGGAGTACAAATTAGTCTTGTGTTTAGAAAAGATTTTTAGACAACTTAAAGTGGGAGGTGGTATTTTTTTAGGAGTAATTACAGCTTTCCATGAGTCTGTATTTCAAGTATTGTTGTTCCCGTAAGTAGAGTGCACAGGGTTAAGGTGCCCTGTTCCAGGTGATTAAAGATGGAGAGTTTGTTTTATTTTGCTTATATCGGTATATTTAGGTAGGAATGTGATCGTGTAGGTGAATTCACGTGAGAAAAAATATATTTTCCCTGTCTTTAAAAAGAAAAGAAAATGCATTCTGACTCAATCGTAGACCTGAGGGAGGGTTGCAGACACACAGTCAGGATTCCCTTTGGCACCTCGCTCTCCCCGTGTCCGTATCCGCCCGGCAGATTCCCACTGTCACAGTGATAGTAGCTGAATCCCCAGGCCTTCTTTTTGCCTCCCCCCACCCTTCCTCCACCGTTGGCCCTTTTCTGTCCTGGGCCCCTCTCTCGAAGGCCCTTCGAGCCTGTGGTTGCGGTTCAGCTTTGTCTCCTGAGTCTTTCCCTGCCTCTCGTGACCGTGACATTTGCAGAGCGCCGGTCACGTACTTTGTCAGGGGCCATCGCGTCCTCATGACTGGAGTGAGTGACGTAGTTCTGACCGGAGTACCGGGGAGGCGACCGGGGGTCCTTCCCGGAGTGCCGCTCCTGGGTTCGTGGTGTTGGCGTCACCCCTGCAGGTCGCCGTTGTTGCTACGGATCTGGGCGGCGCCCTGAGACCGCACCTGCCCCTTTTCTTGTAGGTGGTGGTGAACCTGGCGATGCTTCTGGCTGAGATGAGGCTGCAGAACCGAGCTGCCCCGTCCTTAGCGATGACCCTGGTTAACAGTTTCCAGCTCTTGTATGTGGTGGACGCGCTCTGGAACGAGGTAAGTCATCTTAGGGGCAGAGGCCCTCGAGTCTGGCGGCGTTGAGTGTGGGCAAGCGGCCTCCGACACGGGGTGAGGAGGGCTGCTGGGAGGAGGCGGGGCGCCCGTCCACGCGGCGTGGTGAGCGTGTGCATCAGCTGCTCCTTGGCGCGAAGTATTTAAGATCTGTGCGTGTGTCCGGTTCCAATAAATAAATCCTAATTTCTTAATCACCGTGTCAAACGAACGTGGACGGATAGATCAGCACGGAGTTAGGGTCTTTCTCTTTGGATCGTCAGGCGGCAGCTGGTTCTTAAATAGCGAAGGTGTTTTGGTGGTGGTGCTTCAGAACATAGAGCTCCCGTCGGATGCATCTTAAATGAGGAGTCGTGATAACCAGGGAAACGGGTGTAAGTAAAGCTGAGCTCCTAACACGTGCCCTTACTGGCACATGGAGACGTCATCGGTGTTTTTGGGGCACCTGGGTGGCTCAGCCGGTTGAGCGTCCGGCTTCGCTCAGGTCATGATCTCGTGGTTCGTGAGTTCGAGCCCCACGTCGGGCTCTGTGCTGACCGCTCAGAGCCTGGAGCCTGCTTCAGATTCTGTTTCCATCTCTCTGCCCCTCCCCTGCTCATGCTCTGTCTCTTTCTGTCTTTCAAATGTAAAACGTTAAAAACAAAAAAAAAAGTCTGATCAGTGTTTTCTAGTTCTTGAAGACTGGCTTATATTTTCCTAATCTTTGTTTCAATATATTCCCTTTAAAAATCATGTATTCCTCAGGCCTGTTTTACTTTATCAATTTCCTGTTACCTTTGTAACCTGTGCCTCCAGGTTTCAAGTTGAGTTTTCTTCCAGTTTTAAAAACAAAATCAGGGTCGCCTGGTGGCTCAGTCGGTTAAGCATCCACCTCTTGATTCCGGCTCAGGTCATGATCTCACAGTTCGTGAGTTCAAGCCCCACATCAGGATATGTGCAGACAGCGTGGAGCCTGCTTGAGATTCTCTCTCCTGCTCTTTCTCTGCCCCGCCTTAAGTAAACTTAATAAAAACAAAACTGGCCTCCCTACATCACCACGTCCGAGTCAGTCTTCACAACAGTGTGTTGACCTCTCGAGTCGGAGGCTTGGCTGCTGCACCGGGTCACGGAGTCGGGTCAGGGTGACTCGGAAAGCGTCATGTTGCTATTTCCGTAATCTGCCTCTTGTCCGGTCAGGGCCTTTCAAGGTAAATAAACCTCAGCTACGAGTAGCCAGGGTACGGATTTTGTGAAGCTCCTTGGCTCTGCACTCTGAGAACTGCAGGCCCGTGGGGCACCCGCCGCTGGGGCCTCAGAAGGTTCCAGGTCCCCCCCAGAGGACTTGCGGGTGGGTGTCCTCCGCTGTGGTGCAGTCGGCAGCTCCCAGGGGGCCGGCACCTTCCGTCTCAGGAGCCCGGTGAGGCTTCACTGTTGCTTGGGTGTCACAGAGATGTCTCTTTACACTCCTTTCTGGTGGTGTTTCAGCGATGAGCAATTCTTCTAGCTTGCTGTCACGCGGTGGGAGTCACCATGGCCCTCGCTAGAAATTCATGTGTTCCGGAGATTTCGCCCAACGGTGACTTCTGTTGCTTTCTGTGAAGGCGGTTTGTCGCAGGTCCTGGGGGTCGAGCACTGGAGTTAGGGGTGGTTTTCCCTGTGTGTCATCAGTGCCCCAGCTCTGTGGACAAAGGGGCTTGACTTGATGATTTTCGCTGGCATCTGGCTGTGGCCGGGCAGTGAGGCTGACTCCTCTTGTTAGTTGGTTGACCTGAGGGAACGGAGGACGGTAATTAGATAGAAGTGACTTCCCTCTGTCTGCAAGGCTGTCCTGGGAGCGCCTGACCAGGCAGTGGCTGCCCGACAGCTCGTCCCTGCTCCTGTCCTGTGCACCAGGCTGCTGGCTCCCAGGAGATCAGATGGCAGGTCCTGAGAGCCTGTGTGCACGGGGATCGTGCACGGGGATCGGTGCTCTTGAGTGTGGCCTGAGGGCCCGGAGGTTGTGACTTCGGTTTTCCATTCCATGGTCCATTTGCTTGCTTTCTGGAAAAAAGGGGTCTTTGGAGTTCCCACCTTTTCCTTTCACCTGGGCCTCGGACCCCTCAGTGGAGCTTGCTCCCTGCTTTCCTGCGTCAGCCGCGTGGCCTGAGGTTGGAGGTGGTTAGACATTCCCTCGGGCCGGGCCTTCTGAGTTTGACCTCAGTGGCGTCTCCGATCTGGAGTCCGGCCTGCAGGTGTCTGGGCCCAGCGGTGATCTGGCGGCTTGCGTGTGCGGGCCAAACCCTGTTCCTGCATCATCAGCGGAGGGGGAAGCAGGGGCATCCCGTGTTGTGATCGGAAGGGAGACGGGTGCACGCGGGGTTGATACGGGGCAGCCGGCGGTGTCGTCATTCCTCCAGCAAACGCCGAAAATGCTGACTGTGTAGCGCGCCAGCCGTGCGCCGCGTGCTGGGGTGACGGTGACGAGCTGGAGACCTGGGGTCCCTGCCAGAGTGAGGACTTGGCGCGCCCACTGTGAGCGGGTGCGGCATCCGACAAGCGCCGCGTCTGAGGGGTCCAGGGGAGGCAGCTGGGGGGTGACTGGGGAGCCGGAGGCCGAGGTCGGAGAACGGCCCGGGTGAAGGCGGGAAGCACGAGAGGCGTTTTGGACACGTGTCATTTCCAGATCGTGGGATGAGAGGGTACCGTGAGCGGAGATGAAGGCGGCAAAGTGACCTGGTGAGGGACACGGGCCCAGGAACCAGAACCCCTCTTCCCCCCGCCTTTTTTTTTATGTTTATTTGTTTTAGAGAGACAGAGAGTGCCAGCAGGGGAGGGGCAGAGAGAGAGGGAGACGGAATCCGAAGCAGGCTCCAGGCTCTGAGCAAGCTGTCAGTGCAGAGCCTGACACGGGGCTCGAACCCACAAACCGTGAGATCGTGACCTGAGCGGAAAGTCAGATGCTTAACCACCTGAGCCCCCGGCGCCCCTCCCCTCTTCTATAACTTGCAGCTGCTGTGCCCTCCCAGAGCCCTGCATCCGTTTGTGAACCGGTGCTTTGTTTGAACACTTGGAACACAGAATTTTCATTCCCCAAGTGTTTTGTTGTTGTTGTTGAGAAAGTGTGCGAGTAGTGGAGGGGCGGGGGGGAGGGAATCCCAGGCGGGCTCCTCACTGTCAGCACAGAGCCTGATGCGGGGCTTGATCCCACGACCCTGGGATCATGACCTGAGCCGACATCAAGAGTCAACCGACTGAGCCACCCAGGC